TAAAACTACCCCCTTCCCACTAGCATTCACTATGTTAGGCATTCCTACAGACTTCTCGGTGAAGACCTAAACAAAGAAGTCATTGAGCATCTCTGCCATTTCCAAGTTTCCTGTTACTGTTTCTCCCTCCTCACTGACCAGTGGGCCTACCCTCTCCTTGGTCTTCCTCTTGCTTCTAATATATTTGTAAAAAGTCTTCTTGTTTCCCTTTATTTCCGGTAGGTAGTTTGAGCTCATTCTGTGCCTTTGCCTTTCTAATCTTGCCCCTGCATTCCTGTGCTGTTTGCCTATATTAATCATTTGTAATTTCTCCTACTTTCCATTTTTTATGATGACTCCTTTTTTATTTTTATATCATGCAAGATCTCGTGGTTAAGCCAAGGAGGTCTTTTGCCATATTTTCTGTCTTTCCAACACATCAGAATAGCTTGCTTTTGGGCCCTTAACAATGTCCCTTTGAAAAACTGCCAACTCTCCTCAGTTGTTTTTCCCCTCAGTCTCGATTCCCATGGGACCTTACCTATCAGCTCTCTGAGCTTACCAAAATCCGCCTTCCTGAAATCCATTGTCTCTATTTTTCTGTTCTCCCTTCTACCCTTCCTTAGAATTGTGAACTCTATGATTTCATGATCACTTTCACCCAAGCTGCTTTCCACTTTCAAATTCTCAACTAGTTCCTCCCTATTTGTTAGGACCAAATCTAGAACAGCTTCCCCCCGGTAGCTTTTTCAAACTTCTGAAATAAAAAGTTGTCTCCAATGCAGTCCAAGAACTTATTGGATAGTCTGTGCCCCGCTGTGTATACCTTCTCTCCCTTTCCCGTGATTCACAAGGTAATTCTCAAAATCCACAGGGAGAAAACCCAGGTAATCCTGCTGACGTCAGCTTGGTTATGCCAGCACTGATACACATCATTCCTGGGGATGTCGGAGGAACCACCCATAGAGCTCCCTCTTTACCCAGACCTAATCTCACAGGATAATGGATGCCTATGGCACCCAGACTTTCTGTTCCTGCACCTCATGGCATGGAAGCTCCATGGTTGAATGCCATAGAACTCCAGTGTGCATTTCAGGTCCAAAAGATTCTCTTAGGCATAGGAAACCATCCACTAAAGCCACTTACTGGATAGAGTGGAAGAGATTCTCATATTGGTGTGCTGAGTACCAGGTTCCACCAACACGCACCTCTATCCCTTTCATCCTTGACTATCTCAGGAGCAGGAGTTAGCCATTACTTTGGTCAGAGTTCACCTCGTGGCTGTCTCAGCATTCCACCCTGGGGATGGTGGCCACTTTGTTTTTGTAAACTCATTGGTGGGGTGATGCATATCAGTGCATCATGAGGGAGACTGGAGACTTTTATAGCTGTTTTTTCCAACGCTGTTTATGTTGCTTTTTAACAGGGGCTATGTATATTTTCACTTGATTTATCTAGTAAATAGTAGACTAGAATATGTCTTAAAACAACTGTCTCCAGCCTCACCACAAGTGAATATTACGTGACTTCTTAACAAGGAGATTTTCACTCAAAGATTAAGTGAATAAGATCTCTTACTTGCATTTAAATCATGGAATGATTTATATTGAAATCATAAGTACCTTTGAAGCAACTTCATACCTAAGTAGAAAATCTTTTCATTTGTAGTTCTGGCATCAGGCTCACAGAACTTCTCACAAATGTTGTGTTAGCTTATTAAGTATTTGATGAAAAACACCTGAAACTCTACACATAAGCATATGTTGTAAAGAGGAAAATCCATCCACTGTAGTGTCATCCGCTTGTTATAGCAATGGACTTTAAGAAGGAAGGCAGATTCTCAGCTGGTGTAAATCAACATTACTCCATTGACTTCAGTGGAGTTATAAACATATACACCAGTTGAGGATCTAGCCTCGGGTATTTAACATACTAAAATATTCATGTCAATATTTAGATTGGTACTCGGATGATTGATTCGCTTTAATGTACCTTTCTATATCCTGTCAATGTCAAGAGTTATAATTTCTTACATTTTTATATACCCGTTACAGCATGATTTAAGCTGGGACTGTCAAAGGGGCATAAAGAAGCTATGCAGCCAGTTCCCATTGACTTTGACTGGGACCTGGCCATCTAACTCCCTGAAGCCCCATTGAAAATCTCAACCTTGGAAACTTGGGAACCTTTTAGATCTCTAAGTGACTGGCAGGAATCCAATCCAGAGCAGTGGAACAAAAAGTACTTACTGTCAGATGATTGTTCAATGATTTATACAAAAGGATCGAGTATTCTTGGTTCAAATCCTGATAGCTAGATGGATAGATGGATGTCCGAATCACAAATAATATCAACACAAGAAGCATGAATTTAGATTCAACAAAGATTCAACAAAGAGGCTAAGCACTGAAATGGAATAGAGAGTGAACACTTAGTCCTGATCTCTCCATGTCTTAATGAAGGGCACTGGCAAGGTAATGGAGGAAGGCTTGCATTGCAGCTGCCTGTGCTATACCTTTTTATGGCACATTAAATGACCTCCTCCCCACTTTTCAAGCCTCAGTGCCTACTATAAATGGCCTGATTTTTCAAACGTCTTAAATACCCATATGCCCCACTGAAGTCACTGGTAGTTGAAGATGCTCACCCTCTATGAAAAACAGGCCACTTTGAGTTAGTTGCCTAAATGCGTATTTTAAAATGTGGACTCTGTCTCTAGAGCTGCCTGCTCACCACTGCCATGGGAATTGAAGATGGGACATTTCAGAACTGAGTGTTGGGCTAACTGTGCTCCCATTGGAATTTATCAGGAGCACAGTTAGTCCAACACTAAATTCATTGGAACATGTCACCCTAAATTTTATTTTAAATCACTCTCTTCCCCTTTCAGCTTTCTGATTGTGTCTTTAAATTATATTTGAAAGGGCTTGGATCCCTTCAGAAAACATTCAAGACATCACAGTTAATATCCATCGGTTGCATGTGAAGCGTAGCATGGGCTGGAAAAAAGCATGTGATGAACTGGAACTGCACCAACGTTTCCTTCGTGATGGGAGATTCTGGAAGTCTAAGAATGAAGATAAAGGTGAAGAGGAGGCAGAGTCCAGTATCTCTTCCACCAGCAATGAGCAGGTGAGTTCTGTTGCAATGCTAGCATCTACTAATATTCACTAAATGACAGAAAGGTGACCTGCAATGCAGTTTGTTAAACGTTATTTTAAAGTCGTACCCTGTTTACTTCTTTAAGATGAGAATAGAATGCAGGTTACTTTTTTTAATACTTCAGAAATACCAGGAATATAAAGTTGTTATCTTCCCAGGTATTGCCGGATGACCTCTGTGAAATCTCCAGGCTGTTTATCAGGAACGCTAACACCTTCATTGAATAAGCAAAGGACTTTAAACTTTAAATAAGTGTTAATAAAATCAGTTTAAATTGTCCTACTAAAATCTCTCCTCCCCACAACTGCTCAACTTTCGCTCTATTGACTCATGTGATGTCACCATTTCACTAGTTCTTCAGACATAGGAACACAAACAGTGCCATACTGGAGTAGACCCCAAAGTCCTGCCCTTGATATTGAGTCTCAGATGCTCTAGAGGAAGGTATAAGAATGCCACCTATATACTGGCCTGTAATGATTAGAGATTAATTATAACTCTGATTAATCTCAGTATGTATATAAATATACAATTCCTTTTTTGAATCTTGCTAAATTCTTGACCAAAATTCCAAAGTTTATTTACACTTTGTGTGAAATAAGAGCATTTTGCAGCCTAGATAGGACCTGAATTTTTAATGAAAAACAAACCAAAAAGTGTTTGTTTTCCTAAAAATAAAAACCAGGAATCTTACATTCATCCCAGTGAATCCTGTTGCAGGTTGGAGTCTTGTTCCAAAATGAAGAACCCATTTGAGCAGACCAATGAGAAATTACATAAATAGTATAAATTGAATAAATAATTGTTATTTGTTAGAAAATCAGTAAACTAACACTGGATTTTACTTACTCCACTGATCATTAGTTTTGAGGTCATTATCACTAATTCAAAAAATGTATCTGGCTTTACAGACACCTTGTTTTGGAAACGTATTTGCCTTTGTATGTTGCCTTTCACACTCGTGTATCTCACGCATTTCACAAAGAATGCTATTTATATTGGCAGCTGAGAACTAGTGTTTCCCAGCATTTGGAATTATTCAGTATTTTTTAATAATGTTGACAGCTGAAGGTTACTCAGGAACCAAGAGCAAAGAAAGGACGACGTAATCAAAGTGTGGAACCCAAAAAGGAAGTAAGTAGCTTCACATGATATGTCTGTCAGTTAAGCAAAACCCCCAAAAGAATACCACTCTCAAAATTACAATTGACATTCCTTATTTTCTGCCACATTTTATTTGTTTTATGCTACTAGCATTAAAGTATGAATGTCAGCGGCTATAACGAGATCTGGTTATCTTAAGGTTATATATTGGCACTCATCACCATGGTATTTGTTTAAGATCTTTTCTCATCACATGCTTAGCCACTAGCAATAGTCAGATGGCATCAATACAATTTAAAATTTCCATCACTAACAAGTCTTCATCCCACTAACAACAATATCTTTAGGAATGGCAAACTAAGTTACATTTTAATAATATATTACATTTTTAAAAACTATCAGAAGAACATTATTTAGGTTGCAAAGTCGAGGATGTGAGAGTTAGGAAATACCAGTTGTAAGGTTGCCCATAGACCCTTAATCCTGTATATTCAAGCTATGCACTGCAGGAGGCAGAGCAAATATAAAGTATGTGATTATGTAGTTCAAGATTATCATTCGACACACAATATCTGTTATTTCTTATTTGCATTCTTAATGATGTTTCTTTAATGTAGTTTGTATGTGAATTCTTAGGGGTTTTTTGGGGGGGGGGAATAGATTTTTAAAAAAAATCTGTCTTGTATGACTGTCAAAACACCCCCAGCTTATCTCATCAGCAGGGTTCAAACCTTGACACTCCAGCGCAGACTGCTACGAGTCCTTGAGCTGCAGAACTAACTACAGTAGCTGACAGCAGCAAAAGGCTGTCATCCCAGAATAGGGACCCTTTGTGGGTCCCAGAAAGGAATTCAGTTAGGACTCTAGTGCATGGGTTGTGATTGACAGTAGGTTAGGAACAGTGCCTATTCTCTAGGGTTAGACTGTTTTTCAGCTTTACAGTGTTTTCTGTCAAATGAATGCTGTATATTGCTGTATAATTCACTTTTGGCCTAATGCAGGCTTCTGGGTTAGTGACCAGATAAGGACAGCTCTAAGAAATGAATCAGGCTGACATATTAAATAGCACTCGGTAGCAAAAGGGAATGTATGATCGACCTTTTAATGGGTATAATTTCTGTACTTGTCATTTAGGCAACCACAAAGCATAGCTCAAACAGTAGGCACTGTGGTATGTGATGGTTTGACATTGCAGAGAATTTGTTAATTATCCATTCTGCATAAGTGGTTATCAAAATAAAATAATCTTTTAGAGGAAACAAACCAATTTCTTGTGTGATTTTAAATAATTAAGTTTCTGGAGAAGAGGTGTTTAAGGCAATATTATGTCTATTCTAAAGAGCGTGGACAACTAATATTCTGTTACAAACTGTGATCAAAATTCAATGCTACAACTACTATAATTTCTTCCCTGGATAATTATGTAATTGCACAATGCTTTCATGGTCATCCATGTCTAGTTCTGTTATTATTAGAAACACTTGGCATCTTATTAGCTTTTCATTTCCTAGTGCTTTTGAAACAATTAGTTAATCCTCTTAGCAGCCATCTGAGGTAAGCAAAATCTTCTACAATGCCACAGTAGCCTGTTGGGCCCAATTTAGCTCTATGTCCACCAGGTTAAACTCAGGTTTAAGGCCCCACAGCTAGGATTCCTCCAAGAGTACACTGTAGTGAAGAGAGGATGCAGCCACCTCCTCATTAAGGGGTTTGTGTGAATGCAGTGTAATCCCAAAATGGGCAGTGCTAGCTGAGAAAGGGTCATGGCAAGGATGACATATTGAGATTCATCATGTCCTTTGGAATCTTGGCCTCAGACTAACGCTGCCAGCCCTCCACCACATCAGGGAACAGTGTGTGGCTAGTACAAGGGGGTGTTAACATTGCCAGCTATGGTGTATTCAGATCCTTCCTTTGGGATGCTATGAGTTATGTTCTGTTCTAGAAAGTTTGCTCTTTCTCCGTAGGAGCCAGAGCCTGAAACTGAAGCAGTAAGTTCAAGCCAGGAAATTCCCACAATGCCTCAGCCCATTGAGAAGGTTTCAGTCTCAACACAGACCAAGAAGTTAAGTGCCTCCTCTCCAAAAATGATGCATCGGAGCACCCAGACCAATAATGATGGAGTTTGTCAGAATATGTGCCATGACAAATACACCAAAATCTTTAATGACTTCAAAGACAGAATGAAGGCTGATCACAAGAGAGAGACAGAGAGAGTTGTACGAGAAGCAGTGGAAAAGGTAGCAGTGACTGGAAGTAACCCAAACTCTGCATCTGTAGTGTGGGGAAGGAGGAGATTATCTTCTGTCATCCATTTTTAAGAAAATGGGGAAAATCCTTTTCTAAAGTTCAACTTTCAAAAGACACTCTGTAAAAATAGCATTGGTTATTGAATTGTAATGAAGCCATATCAAATGTGCTTAGTTTTTTCAGTAAAGTTGGGGGCGTTTTTTAGCGTCTATCCTGAAAATGCAACCTGCCATCTGAAAAGTAAGCTATCTTCATTCATTCATTCATTCATTCATATTGACCCCAGTAACACTTTTCCAGCTCATTTGATTCTAAATTATGCCTTCAGTCTTGACCTGTGCAGTTTTATGAAGTGGGGTTTTATAAACGTTTCTGATTGGCTCTTTAAGTGAAACTGAGTAAATAACTCTGTCAGTTATTCCATCTTGAGCATTAAACAGTTTGGGTCAGACTGAATATTTGTTACCCTCCGAATTCTTCCATTGATTTGTTCATACTTAGTGAAGTTTCTTTGCATGGGTTTTGTCCAATCTGCTCTTACTGTAAAACTGTAAAAAATAAAAAAATCCCTTTTAAACTAAACACATCTGATGTAGAGTCATTGACACAATGCCCATGGAATCTTATGATGCTGTCTTTACAGAGTTGCCTTGCAAAGTAGAAGTACTGTAATGTTTTGGTTGTGATCTGTGTATTGTATGCTAAATTACTGGGATGAGTTTTTTATTTGTTTTTAAACAGTAGAATTTTCTGCATTTCCCAAGAAAGAAAATTTGACTTTGTTTGACCTCCCTCTATAACAATAATGATATTTAAAGGTAGCCGAAGAATACATATGCACACTGACTTTCTTTATTGACTTGCTTCCCTTATGCCAGCTGCGTACAGAGATGGAGGAGGACAAAAGGCAGGCGGTAAATAAAGCTGTAGCCAACATGCAAGGAGAGATGGACAGAAAGTGTAAGCAGGTAAAGGAGAAGTGCAAAGAAGAGTTTGTAGAAGAAATTAAGAAACTAGCAGGTCAGCACAAGCAACTGATTTCCCAGACCAAGAAGAAGCAATGGGTAAGTGTCAGCATTTAATACCAGAAAATAACTGAAAATGTTTGGTACAGGCCACAGGGTGGCTACGTCTACACTGGCCCCTTTTCCGGAAGGGGCATGTAAATTTCACTAGTCGTCATAGGGAAATGCGCGGGGGATTTAAATATCCCCCGCGGCATTTAAATAAAAATGTCCGCCGCTTTTTTCCGGCTTTTAAAAAAGCCGGAAAAGAGCGTCTAGACTGGCCCCGATCCTCCGGAAAAAGTGCCCTTTTCCGGAGGCTCTTATTCTTACTTCAAAGAATAAGAGCCTCCGGAAAAGGGCACTTTTTCCGGAGGATCGGGGCCAGTCTAGACGCTCTTTTCCGGCTTTTTTAAAAGCCGGAAAAAAGCGGCGGACATTTTTAATTAAATGCCGCGGGGGATATTTAAATCCCCCGCGCATTTCCCTACGACGACTAGTGAAATTTACATGCCCCTTCCGGAAAAGGGGCCAGTGTAGACGTAGCCGGTGTGTTTTCTCCAGTACCGTTAACCGTTCTGTTATCCCTGTGCTGTCACTATGGGGTCATCCTACTCTCTCCCCCTCCTGTCTTCTTCCTTTACATTCTCCCTCTACTTTTCCTTGCCACCCTAACTGCCAAAACTCTATTTCATGCTGTGGTCATCTCTCATCTTGTAATACTAACTTCACCCTCTCCTGCCCATAAAAATGTCCCTGCCAAAACAATCCTTTTTTCCCTGTTGCTATAATCATGTCCTTTTGAGCCATTTACTGCCTCCGTATTATGTTATGTATGCATTACATTCAGAGTTACTGGTGTGCTTTCCAAGCCCTGTGTGAAGCAGCCATTTGCATAGCTGTAACTAAGTTTAACTAACTTGTCTCCATTTCAAGTGTGGCATTCGGTTTTTGGTAGAAAACTATTATAATAAAAGTTCTTTGGCATTAGATCTACTACACACTTCTGTGTAGATCTTGCTACATATGTATGGCTTAGACATGTTTCACTGCCTTACCACAAGGTGTCACTGTCATGTTGCAGACTTAATGAATGCCAGCACTTAGCCATCACTTCCTTCCAGCTAGCTCTATGTCAAGCCAGGATCAATGATTTTTTCTTTCCACTGACAGTGGTTGTTTGTTTATACTCAAAATCACTAGTTCTGTCTGTTTTTGTAGTTTGAAAATAGTCTGTAAAAAGCAAACTAAAAAAAAAAATAACACTTAGAAGAGAGAAAGAAAACACTGAATGGGGACAATTGGACCCTTCCTAAGTATAACAATCAATTCCTATTTAAAACCATCAATGTCAAACACAGCTCCCAAAGAATTCTCTATTGTTCTATCAGTATAGAGCTTTTATCTATTGATGGAGTGTGGTTTAGTCTCTAATGGGAATGTAGCCTCAGTACGTGAGAGCCCAGAGAATTATGTAGCTGTATAGTTGTCCTGCACTGGTAGAATTTATGATACATGCACACTTTCACTCCTGCTGTCCTTATTACAACTGGGAATCCTTATAGTTTACTCTGATTTATTTGTCATGTTTGATAATTGTATTCAAAAGAAAGTGTTAATTGATGCATTGGTACCCATTCTATTGCATCTTCTAGACATGTACACACACCACCCCTCCAGTTAGATGATGTTATTCTTTTTGGTGCCAGAGAACACTCTCCGCAATCCCACACAAATCCAAAGATCTGGGAGTAGGTCCGTCAAACTCTACCTTCAGTGAATTATTCATACAGACAAGTCTTGTCTCACATCTTTAGGATGAGACTTTGTTGTAGCCTGATAAACCTGGCTGCTAATGTTCAACCTCAAACTGTTGGAAATGGTCCAAATATGCAACCCTAGTAAAATGATTTTTTTCTCCAGTAGTAACAGCAACAGACACGTAAATGCAATACTACTATTATAATAATGACACCTTCTCAGTGACATGACACATATAATCAGCATATACCAAATGAGAATTAGTGGCTTTGCTTCTTAATTAGAGCCAGAGTCCTCTGTTTTTATGATGTATAGTCCAAAGACAGGGAAAGCTTTTATTATTAATTATACATTTATACTTCATTTATATAGCAAGACCACAATTAAGATAAGAGGCAATTGTGCTACGGGTCTATAAACACATAGGAAGATATGGTCTGAGGCTCAAAGAGCTTACAGTCAGTATAAATTAACACAATTTTCACTCATTTACACTACTGGAGAATTTAGCTCTAGTACCAGCTGCAAAATCTGGATAACAGTAGGAAATGAGGAGGTGGAAACTAAGGTCAATAGTCATGAGATTACATAGTGTAATAATCTAGAAAAATCAGACCATTGTGCACTTCTTGTTTTAATGTTGTCTGTGTATATTTTTCTGTTTTAACCTTTCCCTAGTTCGTTCTCTCTCTCTCTCTCTCTCTCTCTCTCTCTCTCTCTCACACACACACACACACACACACACACGTGGATACAGCATTTGAAATGCTGCCTATTCCTACATGCCAGTTTCTATTATTACGGGAATAAATATTCTTCACGAAATATATGGTATGACCTGAAACACAGCTATTTACGATATGCCTAGAAAACAAACACATTCAAAGTTAAATGCTCCTCCTTTGTGGGTATCTGCACATAGAATGAGATAGGATTAATCTGAGACTTATAGAAACCACCTGCAAGGCCACATCTAACACGCTGGAGATCAATCTTCTGGCATTCGATTTAGCTCATCTAGCAAAGACCCATTAAATTGAATGCTGAGGGCGCCCCCAGTTGGTGCCAGTACTCCTTGCAGTTGCGAGGAGTAAGGGAAGCCAACAGAAGCATTTGCTCCCCTCGACCTCCCACTGTGAAGACAACATCAAGCTCGCCTTAAGGTAAGTCAGCGCCAGCTATGTTATTTACATAGCTGGAGTTGCAGATCTTTAACCAACCTTCCGTTGGTTAAAGACCTGGCCTGAAAGGAGTGGCAAGCTTTCCATCCATTGGTCTGAGTTGTCCCCCTCCATTTTACCTTTATTTTACCTCCTAGCAAGCAAATGTGAACCTTGTCTCTCGCTGACTCCTGTGCTGTGTATAATGTAGAGACATGCATCTTTTCAGCTGACGTTCCTTATGGCTCAGAGAACCTCCTGGAGAGCCAGCTGTATGAAATTCAGGAATATGTCTCTCCAGAGGATATTTGTTTGAAAATGCTGTTACAGATAAACACTCTATAGCTGAGTTATGAAACTAAAACTTACGCAGTCTATATATTGGTGATGTAAATATATGGTTGTTCCAGTCTATTAAGTTTGTATGAAAAATTAAATCCTGATTCTTTGATATGGTGCCTGCATGCATAGAACGTACTGTATTCCTCCTCTCACTCTCTGTCATACAACAGACATCTCAGCCTAGACTTAAAAATTGTTCCCTTGAATTTTGAGAGAGTGAGTGCCCAATTTGGGCCTGATTTTCCAAGTTACTGAAGTGCTCAGATACTATAATGAGGGGGCTATGTATAAATCTTGTTAACAGATCCAGTCCCAGTCTCGTCAACCGAGTTATTTTCCTGTTAGTTTTCACCTCTCTTGCACTACATTAAAATAGTACAAGCAGCACTGCTGTGACACTCAGGTAGAAAGAAATTAAAGGTACAAGATTCTAAATAGTCACCTATTCAGAACTAAATCCTTTGAATTCTGAAGTTCTGTTGAACCTTCTTGAAGGGCCCAGGCAGGAAATCTTGAATGTCTGGGTGTTATTGCTGAATAAACTGAATTTATTATCACTATGTTGCGTAGCAGAAATTCCCTATTCTTATTAAAAAAAAGGCCTTCAGCCTGAGCTGAGGGTAAAGAAGCCTGAGCTCAGGAATGGAGCAGCAGACCATTGGTGATCACAGCATTTCATTATATCGTTCTACAGGGTCAGTATGGCTGATGCAGAATTTAGGGTGCTAATAATGGTGATTTTGTCATAATTAATGAAGATGTCTATCACACCTCAATATCTATGCATTGTAGCTGTCTTCCTGGAGTTTGAAAACTAATGGGGATTTCATTTTCTCCAATGTCCCTAGCTTCTGTCTGTGTTAGAGTAGATCACTTGATGGTTACCTCTTCTTTTCTTCTGTTCACTCCTTCTGAAGCACCTGGCATTGGCCACTGGTGGAAGACAGGATACTGGGCTAGATGGATCTTTGATCTGACCCAGTATGGCCGTTCTTAGGTAATTTGAGTTCTCCATGTCAGTCATCGCCACTATTCTAGTCCTGGGCCCTTTATTCAAAACTATTGTCTCCATTGGTTGCAACCAAATAACAGGCAAAGAAATCACTTTTTCCTTCTGATTTATGACATAACTATTGATACCCATCGAGAAGAGACCCCCATTCCCTCAGACTTCAGATACTAACTGCAAGATTTGCAAAAGATCTTAGTTCCTATTAAGGCATCTTAGGCCATGTCTACACTAACGAGCTTATAATGGCCCTGCTACTTGGGTACAGTTTTGCCACTGTAGAATCACTCGTGTAACCGCCCTGTACTGAGAGGAAAGAGCTCTCCTCTCCACATTTATTGCTGTTCATTTGAAATGGTAGCACTCTCCACACTGGCACTTCCAGTATAACTAATGTTTCTCAGAGAGATGTTTTTTCACAGCACTGAACAGCATAAATTATCCCGACAAAAGTGCTAGAATAGTCATAACTTAAGGGAAGTGGCCAAATTTTCAGAGCCTCTCAACACCCAGTCACATAATTCTTAAAAGGAGAGTATGGTGGACTCTCCATTGTTCTCAGTAAGAGCTTCTAGTTGCTAAGCACCATTGAAAATGAGGCTACTTTGTTTAGGTACCTAAACTTTTTGGAAAAATTAAGCTCTACATAGTCAGGCAATGAGTTGTAAGTGTAGGCTAACCCTGTTACTTTGCAGCTAGGGAAGCCTTCCTCAGGGGATCTGCTGAAAGTAAGAGCAGTCTTTACCTAGCAGGGATGAGAAATTCCCGCTGCATGTGGCTGCCTAAGTAAAAGAGGAATATTCTAGTCTGTGCTGAAGCAA